ATTAGCTGGGCATGGTGGCACGTGCCTGTAATCCCAGCTACTCAGGAGGCTGAGGCAGGAGAATTGCCTGAACCCAGGAGGCGGAGGTTGCAGTAAGCGGAAATCGCGCCATTGCACTCCAGCCTGGGTAACAAGAGCGAAACTCTGTCTCAAAAAAAAAAAAAAAAAAATTAGCCCAGCGCGGTGATGGTCACCTGTGATCCCAGCTATTCCAGAGGCTGAGGCAGAAGAATCGCTTGAACCTGGGAGGTGGAGGTTGCAGTGAGCTGAGATCACGCCACTGCACTCCAGCCTGGGTAACAGAGCAAGACTGCATCTCAAAAAAAAAAAAAAAAAATGTGGTATTTTAGTTTCTGTATCTGAATTGTTTGACTTAAGATAATGACCTTCATTTCCATTCAAGTAGCTGCAAAAGACATGATTTCTTTTTTGTGTGTGTGCCTGAGTGGTACTGTATTTGTGTGTGTGTGTGTGTGTGTGTGTGTGTGTGTGTGTGTGTGTGTGTATGACATTTTCTTTATACAGGCCTCCATTGACAAACACTTAGGTTGATTCCATATGTTTGCTATTGTGAATAGTTCTGTGATAAACACACAGGTGCAGGTGTCTTTTTGATACAATTATTTATTTTCCTTTGTGTAGATACCCCATAGTGGGATTGCTGGATCAAATGGTAGCTCTATTTTTAGTTCTTTGAGAAATCTTTATACTGTTTTCCATAGAGGTTGTATTAAATTATATTCCCACCAACAGTATATAAGAGTTCCCTTTTCTTGCATCCTCTCCAACATCTGCTATTTTTTGTCTTTTTAGTAATAGCCCTTCTGACTGGTGTAAGGTGGTATCTCATCATGGTTTTCACCTGCATTTCTCTATTAGTGATGCTGAGCATTTTTTCATATGCTTGTTAGCCATTGGTATGTCTTCCACATCTTTATGAAGTTGGTTATAACAGAGTTGCAGTAGAGGAACCAATAACCCTTTGCCCCATGCCTGATGGTTGCTTTACATCCCTATCTTCATGAAGTTTTTGAGGTAGTGAGGTATAACAAGAATAGGCAGTTGTCAATTATAAATTATTTGACGTGAACCTGTCCATACTTGGGTGTGGTCATCAGGGAAGGCTTCCTGGAGGAAATGACATTAAAGATGAATTCTAAAAGATGAGGATAGGCTGGGTACAGTGGCTCATGCCTATAATCCCTGCAGTTTGGGAGGCCAAGGCAGGTGGATCACCTGAGGTCAGGAGTTGAGACCAGCCTGACCAACATAATTAAACTCCGTCTCCACTAAAAATA